GAGGAAGAAGAAGAAGATGATGAAAATAAGAAGACCAAGATGAGAAGAAAAAGAAGAAGAAGAAGAAGAAGAAGAAGAAGAAGAAAAGAATAAAAAAATAAAATAAAAAAGAAAATTGTCGCCGATTACTTATCTGCGCGGGGTAGCAACGACGATGATGAGGATGGCACGGTGTGGCGACGAGGACGACGGGCACGACGATGGTGACGTGGCACGACGACGACGATCACGATGGTAACGATGATGACGTGGCACGACGACGACGATCGCGATGGTGACAATGATGGCGTGGCACGACGACGACGATCGCGACGATGACGGTGATGACATGGCACGACGGCGATGACCACGACGATGGCGTGGCACTACGAAGACGATCACGATGATGATGCTGATGATGGCGACGAAGCAGGGTGGGACGGGCGGGTTCGAACCGCTCTGATACCAGTGTGACGGGCGTGAGGCTGAGGGAGAGCCGAGGGAGAGGAGAGAGAGAAGGGGAGAGTGAGAGCACACACACACACTCACTCACTCGACACGACTGAGGGTCGGACGCAGACACAGTGGCAAGGCACAAAGTCGAAGTCTTGGATTCCAAATGCCGAAACAGCAAGTCACACTGAGTACGAGTACAGCATCAGAAAACTGGTACGAGACTGGTCCCCATACCGTACGGGGAGCCGGTATAAGTACCGGTGACACGTACGGTACCAGGGGCATTTCTGCAAAGGCCCCGAGGGAAGAACTGAAAAATGCGGTATTTGAAAGTGGCACCCGAATTGCAGCATGGTGGCAGTTGTCCAAAATCCTACGGTACCAAAGGAGGGGTTTGGAAAAAGGGTGCCAGGCCGAAAACGGGATGCAGCCGAAACAACAAAAAGATAGACCAGGGATCGAGCCCTGGCGGAGTCCGTAACATCCGGATCGTAGCCATGCCTGAGTCTGTCACTAGTAGTCTCTGTTTGGTAGCCTTAGGCCATTCGGCCTTTTCCTTTTGCCTTGTCAAAGGTCTAGGTCCCCTTTCCCCTGTTTCCACCTAGATACAAACAAGTCTTGGGTTGTTGCCTTTGGAGTCCGCTGTAGGTCTAGGTAGAGGGTACAAGTAGCAAGCAGGAAATTTGGTTGGGGTCTTTTCACGTTTTCGTTGGCTGGGGAAACTCTGCCTGTCCGTTGTTCGAGCGCTGCTGCTCTATTTTGGGCGAGGTCATCTTCTTCCTCGAAGGCCAGCCATAGCTGGGGGTTGGGAAATGAAGTTGAAGATCGCACTGCTGCTGTTTCGCAGCTCTGGATGAGAGCTTCCACAGGACTGTGTTAGGTTTGGGCGCTGCCATTTTCCACTTGGCAGCCATATCTACTTTTCGTCCTTACGAGGAACTTCATCTTCTTTGAAGTGCTGGATCGGTTGTCTCCTTCTTCATTGGGGTTGCTGGTTCAGCTTGGCACATTTTGAGAGTTGTGGAGTTACTGCGGCTACGACAACCATAGCCAGGGGTATGAGCTGGCGAGGAGGAAGAAGAAGACTCCTGCATACTTCGTTGAACACTTGTTTTTGGTTGTTTGGGGTTGTTGTAAACGCGGTTGTGATTCGTGGAACAAGTACTCTGGATTGATTGGAGGAGGACAAGGGATTGTAGAAATGAAATTCATTTTTCACTTTTCTGTGTATTTTGAGCTTCCGTTGTGCATATCTTCTCTCCGGTTTTGTGTGGATTTGCCTCCTTCGAGTCTACTCTGCAATTGCATGCGTGTATGAGAACGTGTGAATTCGTTGTGGATTGAAGTTCAATCGGGTACACAACAGGTACTTGTTAGTTTGGAGACCCCGCCGGGCCAGTACTTACCCGCGGCCGTGACTTGGAGGGTTGCAGCGGGAAAAACACTCAAGTAGCAGGTTGGCCAATACCACTCAAGTAGTGGTAGAAGTGTCGGGTACTCGGGGGCGAGCAGAAGAAGACAAAAAGTTGGCATTTTTAGAGGCCCAGTAGCAGAAGGGGGATTTGTCATTGATCTTGCTGGCGTACATCTTCTTCTTCGTCTTCTTCTTCTTCTTCTTCTTCTTCTTTCTCTCTTCTTTGGTCTCTATGTCTTTGCAAGTGCTTTCATTTCTTTCGCAATTGGGTGGCATTGTCTTTCATTGTGAATTTGCACTTTGGGAATGACCAGGATTGTAACAATTGGTATCGAAGCGGACTTACTAGCTGGCGAGAGGTTGTGAACTACCCTAACCCTAATTCCGAATTGGGTTAGGGCTAACCTAATCTCGGAATAGGGTTGGAAGTTAGGGTTAAGAGGGGCAGCGTGGTATGTGGATGCTGGCCCCACCTGGTTAGGTGATGTAGGGTCGACATCAGACCTGACCAGGTTACATGAGTGATTGAATGGGGTGGTGAGACACAAAGGAGGCTGATTGAAGTGAGCGAGAGGGAGTGGAGAGTGAGAGGTACTCGCACCTGGAATCAGGACTTCAAAAAGACATTGAGCGACTTATGGGCTTCCCCTCAAGAGGGAGAGTTGACCGGAGGGCCAAGGCTTCCATATCTGCATTGAAGAGCTGCAGTTGCTACTTTGGTCTTCAACATCGACGGAGGATCCGGCTTGTAACATGGGTGTAGGAGAGCCCTCTTAGTCATGCTAGGACACTTCGTGCAGTGGTAGCTAGGGGTCAGGAGGACCTATGAGAGCGGGGGGTGAGTCGTTATTCCACCTTTGGAGGTCGGGCCTCACAGGTAAGTGTCGTGTGACTTGGGTATGCCCACAGGAGGTTGCTTGGTGCTTCATGGCCTGTTGGGGTGTGCTGGGCTCTTTTCCTCTTCTCGGCGGTCTTGGTTGTGTGTGTGAGCATGCGGATTGCTTTCTCACCTGAGGATGGATGGATGATATATCTTGTTCTCAATGACATATCTGTCTACAGTGTATTGTCTTTTCAGTCATGAACAGCTGTAGGAGTAGGTTCTTGCTGAAAGTTGTCTTTTCCTTTTCAGGACGGTAGAGGCAGTTGGGACCGTCTTGGGACACCCTTCTGATTGGTCCTGGTCCACGACCTACTTGGGACCCTTCGGGACTCAGTGGGACCAGGCCCAATGGGATAGGACCCTTCGCTGTGTTGCCGGGTGAACGCGAAGAACGTGCGTTCGCGTACAAACTCGAGCGTTCAAACGTGTTTAGACGCGCCACGTGGCAGCGCACGGGAAAAGAATGAATGCGTGCGCGCCGACGGGGCGTGCGGGGTGGGGTCATTGGGGGGGTGCATTCCGTTCGTGCGGTTTGGTGTGGGGGGGGGGGGGGGGGG